CATTCCACTTTTACCCCCCCGCCCCGCACCATCGTCTTCTTCCCCTGCTGACACATCTTATTCCTTTTTCCAAACACCGACTACTAACGGCCCTACTAAGACCCCCATCACCACCGCATCCTTCCCTTATTCTGCCATTACGTACCGTAGTCGGTAAGCATTGTCAAGCACCAGACATTGTGCTATCCGGTGAAAGCAGAGGGGTAGTGGAAGATGATTTGAAGATCTGGGTGCAAAAGATTGAAGGGAATGGGTTGAGGATCAGTCAAAGACGGAGTACGCGGTGGTGAAGGAGGATTGCAAATTGGAAGTGACCAGGTAATGAAGACTAACAAGTTTAAGTACCTGGGTGCAACGATGTGGAGCTGGTGGACCATTTGGAGGAGGAACGAGAACAAGAGCTGGATGGTTGAAATGGTGAGAGATGGACTGGTGTGGTGATGTGCGATAAGAGGGTCCCAGTTTGGTTGAAGCGAAAAGTGTGAAGTGTGTAATGTAATGTAGTGTATAGTAGTGTATAGTGTAGTGTATAGTAGTGAATAGTGTAGTGGAGAGTAGTATATAGTGTATTGTATAGTGTAGTGTATAGTAGAAGACATTGGTGAGGCCAGTGCTGTTGCATAGGGCCGAGTGCTGGGGCACGAGAAAGAGGGAGGACCAAGCTATGTCAGTGACAGAGATGAAGATGTTGTGGTTGATGTTTGTGTTTAACAAGGAAGGATAAGGGGGTGAGAAACAAAGGAGTGAGAGGAAGACGCAAGGTGGCAGAAATTACAGAGAAGATGAGAAAATGCTCCGGTGTGGTTAGGCCATGTGGTGAGAGACGACAGGAAAATTGCGTGGGTGGTCAGAAGGTAGCAAGTGATGCAAGTCGAAGGAAAGAGATGAAGAGGAAGAAGGCAAAGGAAAGAGATGAAGAGGAAGAAGGCAAAAGAAGAAGAAGAGGTGGTGGGGGGGGGGCCATGTGGTGCGATCAGACATGGTGGTCCGAGGAGAGGAAAGAGAGATGGCACAGGACAGGGTAGCAGCACACCCCCACTTGAGTGGCAAAGACTCGTGGAAGAGGAAGAAGACATCGGTTTCACTTGGTCGGCGACAGTGAATGTTCGCCGTCGCTTGCGAGTTACTCGAACGCCTGCCGCCGCTAAGTTTCGCTTCTGCGCTCGCTTCTACGCTCTCACGTGCTCTACGCTCTCGCTCGCTGTAGGGACGACTTTGTGAATCGACTGCAATACCCAAAAAGGGAATGATCTCAAGACGCCCACGTGTGTGTCCAGTGCAGCTTCATATGCCCGCGAGACTTGGATATAACAACAACAAAAATGACTGATAGAAATAAGATGGTGGCACTCGGAAATGTATTAGCTATAGAAGTAACTCTTTGGGTTCATCTAAGCTGGACCCAAAGAGTGACCCAACGTGGAAGTAATAAAAAGGTTGCAAGAAGAAGGAGAGGAATAATAAGAGGAAGAAGAAGACACATGGATACCAAACAACAAGACCTGATGATGCATACAGGCAGTGACGAGAAGGAGATTGCCACTATTTGGACACACACACACATGTAGTGAGATGGACAACAATGGGAAAATTTAAAGCGTGTTGTTGTTGTTCGTCAGGAAAATTGAAGGAAACAGAAAGAGAGGAAGAGTGTAGCGCATCGCAAGCGCAAAGCGTACGAGCCGCTAATTAAGCTACGCAAACGCGGTCGACATCCCAGGCAGAGGTACAGGGGGGCGAGACATTAGGGGTCGGTAGTCTGGACCTGACAGAGCAGCCGGGGGGTAGCGGTATGAATGGAACGGGGGAGTCGGTGGGCAACGGCCCCGACAATTCAGTGATGGCGGGGGACGGTAGCCCCCACAGAAGCCCTAACAGAGAATGGCTTGACTAAAACGACATCATAAAGAGATGTGGTTCCAGAAAGATGGTGGCGACTACTTGACGCATATTGGCACAAGAGGGAGAGAAGAGAGGGGAAACAACAAATTACGAAGTGTGCAGTGGACACTTACTACGGGCTACCTGCTCCATGGGTCGCGACGATGATGCACTACACTAGACACTACACTATTATACACCACGCTATACACTAATGTATTATACACTACATTATTATACACTACCATACACCACACTATACATTACACTATTATACACTACTATACAATACACTACTATAATTTACACTATTATACACCACGCTATACACTACACAATACACGATACTATTATAGACCACACTATACACTACACTATTACACACTACTATACACTATATACTACTATACACTACACTACGATACACTGCACTATACACTACACTACTAGACACTATACTATACACCACACTATACAGTACACTATACACTACAGCACTATGATGTGCCACTACTTGAGCATATTGTGAGGAAAGCGGAAACAACAAATGATGAAATTTCGATTTAAAGCTTTCGTGACTGCAATGATTCATCTTCTTTGGTTCTTTCAGTAAAGTCACGTAGAATGATAATAAAATAATAAATTGATAAAATAAAATAACACAATAATATTCTCACGACGTTTCGGCCACAACACAAGCGGCCTTCATCAGGTGAAGGGGGCGAGACTGTCTGGTAGGCTGTCCTACGACGTTTCGGCCACAACACAAGCGGCCTTCATCAGGTGAAGGGGGCGAGACTGTCTGGTAGGCTGTCCTTCATCACCTACGACGTTTCGGCCACAACACAAGCGGCCTTCATCAGGTGAAGGGGGCGAGACTGTCTGGTAGGCTGTCCTACCAGACAGTCTCGCCCCCTTCACCTGATGAAGGCCGCTTGTGTTGTGGCCGAAACGTCGTGAGAATATTATTGTGTTATTTTATTTTATCAATTTATTATTTTATTATCATTCTACGTGACTTTACCGAAAGAACCAAAGAAGATAAATGATGAAATGTGCAGTGGACACCTACTGGGGGCTATCTGCCCCATGGGTCGTGATGATGATTATGAGTGGCGCGATGCTGCCTCATTCGCCACCTTGTATCCCTCCGCCACGTGCTTCTTCACCACCCTCGGCTAACTAGAGCCACATCGCCCCCCCCCCCCCCATGTCAATATATAACTATCTTCCATAACAGGGTTTTTTTTTTGGTTAGATGGCATAAGTATAAATGTGTCGTTAAACCCGCCACCACGACCCAACACAGCCAATTAGTAAGGTTTGTGTCACGTAAACAAAACATGACCAATTCGTTACTCGTACAGCACACTGGTTGTGTGTCGCAGAGTTACGCAATCTAACCCAAGACACCTCTATTATGAATAACATTGGTCACGAAAGCCTACGAGTTTTAACGCCATTCCGTGTGTTTAGTGTACACGCCGTACAACATATTTGTAATCAACAGGAGTAAAGTTTGAACTTACCAACAAATCGACGTACGAAGGGACCCCTGGAACCTAACTCGTTCGTACGTAGAGGCGTTCCTGTATTATTAGTATCCCTGATTGGTTAAGACTGCACGTGTAGAGTACTGGAGTGCTGGAACGCATCTCCCGTGTTGTACTTCATTCGTATGGGAAAGGCAGCTGATCGGTCAACCTTGTATCAGTTTCAAGTCTTGTTTGCCAACGTAACCCAGAACTTAAACTAATCATTCTCATTCTTGATTTGAAGCTTTCATGACTGTAGGAATCCATACTCTTTGGTTATTTCGGTAAAGTCACGTGGGTATAAAATAAAATAAATCACGACGTTTCGGGCGCAACACAAGCGTCCATCATCAAGCATGGTCTGCTGCTGAGGCAGACTGTTTTTCATAATTCCCAGTAAATATATATACTGTATATAGTGCCTTATTTTTTCGAAGGTACTTTAGAGCAATTGTTATAAAATTGTACAAGAGATGATGGTAGTTGAGATGACAAATAGTGGGAGTTGTTATTAAAAGCTCGCCTTTTGCCTGTCCAAGGACGGTTGTATTGCAGTAAATCTGAAACTTGCAAGCGAAAAGCAGACCGCGACATGATATTAATTGCATCCAGTCGTGTGCAGTTTGTAAGGCCGCGGTGACACAGACTTATTTCAGTTAAAGGTTATAATCCCTTGTTCATCATGACGTCCTTTTTACTTCTATGTCTCAACGTGATGGTTCTGCCCCCCCATGTGGAGTGACGTCACCCGCTAATCCATATTAATGGGGGGGGGGGGGGTGTCCATTTGGAAGACGTCACCTCTTCATGATTATTAATGTGGGGGGCTGTTCGATATGAAGTGACATCACCTGTTGTTCATGATTATTAATGAGGGGGGGGGGTGCTACATATGGAGTAACATCACCCACTCATTATTAATGAGGGGGGGGTCCATGTGGAGGACGTCACCTGTTCATGAGTATTAATGAGGCGGGCTGGCCGACGTGGAGTGACGTCACGCGCAGGACACACAGACATTCTTGGCTCATTATCGTAGTAAATGGTGATGGTGTAGTTATGGCGACAGGAGGTTAAAGAGGGGTTGGGAAAGGGGTAGTAATAGGGGTAGTGATAGGGGTAGTGATAGGGGTAGTGATAGGGGTGGTGATAGGGGTGGTGGTAGGAGTGGTGATAGGGGTAGGGATGGTGATAGGGTAGGGATGGTGATAGGGGTGGTGATAGCGGTAGGGGTAATGATAGGGGTTGGGGTAGTGACAGGGGTAGTGATCGGGATAGTGATAGGGGTGGTGATAGGGGCAGGGGTGGTGATAGGGGTTGGGTTAGTGATAGTGATATGGGTTGTGATAGGGGCAGGGAGTAGTGGTAGGGTTTGTGGTAGGGCTGGTCATTGAAGGGGGGCGAGGGTTAGGGGGTAGCAGGATAATGATGCTGCTAGGCTTGGACAGGAGCTATGGGGGTTGTTCTAAGTGAGGAACGGAAGATGCTGGCCATTGTTGTCGTTGTTGTCGCTGTCGTGATGATTGTGGCTGATTGCTGAGTGTTCCGTGGAGGGAGTTGGCTCCGGACAGGAGAGGAGCTCACCTCTGAGATCGGGACATTCATCCGTATGTTCGAGGAGTAGGAACCTGTCTGTCTGTTCACCATCGCCGCCCGCAACTGTGGCAACAGGGAGACGCGTGTGTGTAGAGACAAAGCTTGCCCGTGCGGCCCGCGCAGGCTGTGGGGGGCAAGTGCCGTTAGTGAGCAGAACCTCTGCAGGCGAGCACGGAGCGACGCCTACGAGGGGGGTTCGTTGTGAGTCGATGGGTCTCTGTGTGAGTCTATGGAACTGAGTGAGTCTATGGGTCTCTGAGTCTATGGATCTCTGAGTGATTCTATGGGTCTCTGTGTGAGTCTATGGAACTGAGTGAATCTATGGGTATCTGAGTCTATGGATCTCTGAGTGATTCTATGGGTCCCTATGTGAGTCTATGGAACTGAGTGAGTCTATGGGTCTCTGAGTCTATGGGTCTCTGAGTGATCATATGGGCCTCTGTGTGAATCTATGGACCTCTGAGTGATCATATGGGTCTTTGTGTGAATCTATGGACCTCTGAATGATCCTATGGGTCTCTGTGTGAATCTATGGCCCTCTGAGTGATCCCTTGGGTCTCTGAGTCTATATATCTCTGAGTGATACTATGGGTCTATGTGATTATATGGACCTCTGAGTGATCCTATGGACCTCTGTATGAATCTATGGACCTCTGTATGAATCTATGGACCTCTGAGTGATCCTATAGACCTATGTATGAATCTATGGATCACTGATTGATCCTATGGGTTTCTGTGTGAATCTATGGACCTCTGAGTGATCCTATGGGTTTCTGAGTGAACCTATGGACCTCTGAGTGATCATATGGGTCTCTGTGTGTATCTATGGCCCTCTGAGTGATGCTATGGGTCTCTGTGTGATTCTATGGAACTGAGTCAATCTATGGGTCTCTGAGTCTATTGGTCTCTGAGTGAGCCTATGGGTCTCTGTGTGAGTATATGGAACTGAGTGAGTCTATGGGTCTCTGAGTCTATGGATCTCTGAGTGATCCATGGGTCTCCGTGTGAATGTATGGACATCTGAGTGATCATATGGGCATCTGTGTGAGCCTATGGAACTGAGTGAGTCTATGGGTCTCTGAGTCTATGGATCTCTGAGTGAGCCTATGGGTCTCTGCGGGAATCTATGGACCTCTGAGTAATCCTATGGACCTCTGAGTGATCCTATGGGTCTCTGTGTGAGTCTATGGACCCTTAGTGATCCTATGGCTGTCTGTATGAATCTAGGGATCTCTGATTGATCCTATGGGTCTCTGTGTGAATCTATGAACCTCTGAGTGATCCTATGGGTATCTGTATGAATATGTAGACCTCTGAGTGATCCTATGGGTCTCTGTGTGAATGTATGGACCTCTGAGTGATCATATGGGTCTCCGTGTGAACGTATGGACCTTGGAGTGATCCTATGGGTCTCTGTGTGAGTCTATGGACATCTTAGGGATCCTATGGACCTCTATATGAATCTATGGATCTCTGATTGATCCTATGGGTCTCTGTGTGAGTCTATGGCCCTCTGAGTGACCCTATGGGGGGGCTGCCCTTGTGCGAGCCTGCTGGCCTCCGCCCTTGCGAGACTCACCACGTCATCCTGCTCGCCCCACTCCACCTCCAGCAGGTCGACGCTATGCGGCTTGGCCTTGAATTTCCCTCCCTCTCTGTACTGCTCTCACACGGACGAGGGGGGGGGGGGGCAGAGTGTGGGCCTCAGCAGGGCAGTGGACAGCCTGCTCAGCGCCCCAGTGTGTGATGGCCGCTGGCCAACCAAGGGGTCTTGCCAGGCGTTGTAGGTTGGTGGCCAGGAGATGGCGACTGTAACTCAACTACTGTATTAGGGCTCACTTGTGAGCTACGTTACTCTTTTTTTTCAGAAGCGACCCTGGCAATCTTAAATAATGGCACATGAAGTTGGCGGCTTATCATCATCGTCGTCGTCGCTGTTGCGTGTAAAGGTATAGCAGTCGCCGAATACTCCTAAATGCGTGACGTTGGATTTTTTTCTCCGGAGGAACCTGGTGGTGAGCCACTTCGTTGAGCTATCATTTGTGATAGCCAAGTTGCTTCTGAAAAAGAGAGCTGCGTAGCTCAGTGGGGCCTTAACTTGTTAAAACATAAACAAAAATTATGGTGAAAATAATAATAAGAGATGGCACTCACCAGTGGTCTCTGGTCGGGGTGGCTCAAGATGTAGCCGTTGTTGGTGATGGCAAACGCGTAGCCATGCTCCCCCAGCTGCAATGGAAGCAGCAGCAACATCAGTAGCAGCACCATTAGCAGCAGCATCATCAGCAGCAGTATCAGCAGCAGTATCAGCAGCAGCAGCATCATCAGCAGCAGTATCAGCAGCAGCAACACCATCAGCATAATCAGCAGCATCATCAGCAGCAACATCATCAGCAGCAACATCATCAGCACCAATTATCGATATCAGCAAGATCAACATCATCGTCGTCAGCAGCAAAATTAACACCAGAAATTTATTGATCATCAACAGGAGCAGAATCATCAAAAACAACATAATCATAAACAGAATAATTAGAATAATCAGCAAAAGCATTATCAGCATCATCAGCAGGAAGGAGGCTGCTGGTACCTTGTAGCGAGGGACCACACGCAGGATGTCCTTCAGCGGCACGTCGAGTCCCACCACGCCGAGCAGCACACCACGTGACTTCTACAGAGCAGCACACCGCGTTACTAGTACACAGAGCAACACACCGCGTGACTAGTACACAGAGTAGCACACCACATTACTAGTACACAGAGCAGCACACCACATTACTAGTACACAGAGCAACACACCGCGTGACTAGTACACACAGCAGCACACCGCGTGACTAGTACACAGAGCAGCACACCACGTGACTAGTACACAGAGCAGCACACCACGTGACTAGTACACAGAGCAACACACCGCGTGACTAGTACACAGCAGCACACCACATTACTAGTACACAGAGCAACACACCACGTGACTAGTACACAGAGCAGCACACCACGTGACTAGTACACAGAGCAGCACACCACGTGACTAGTACACAGAGCAACACACCGCGTGACTAGTACACAGAGCAACACACCACGTGACTAGTACACAGAGCAGCACACCACATTACTAGTACACAGCAACACACCACATTACTAGTACACAGCAGCACACCACGTGACTAGTACACAGAGCAGCACACCACGTGACTAGTACACAGAGCAACATACCGCGTGACTAGTACACAGAGTAGCACACCACATTACTAGTACACAGAGCAACACACCACATTACTAGTACACAGAGCAGCACACCACATTACTAGTACACAGAGCAACACACCACATTACTAGTACACAGAGCAACACACTGCGTGACTAGTACACAGAGCAGCACACCACATTACTAGTACACAGAGCAACACACCACATTACTAGTACACAGAGCAGAACACCACGTGACTAGTACACAGAGCAACACACCACGTGACGAGTACACAGAGCAACACACCACGTGACTAGTACACAGAACACACCGCGTGACTAGTACACAGAGTAACACACCACATTACTAGTACACAGAGCAACACACCGCGTGACTAGTACACAGAGCAACACACCGCGTGACTAGTACACAGAGCAGCACACCACGTGACTTCTACAGAGCAGCACACCACGTGACTTCTACAGAGCAGCACACTGCATGACTAGTACACAGAGCAGCACACCACGTAACTAGTACACAGAGCAACACACCACATTACTAGTACACAGAGCAGCACACCGCGTGACTAGTACACAGAGCAGCACACCGCGTGACTAGTACACAGAGCAGCACACCACATTACTAGTACACAGAGCAACACACCACGTGACTAGTACACAGCAGCACACCACGTGACTAGTACACAGAGCAGCACACCACGTGACTAGTACACAGAGCAACACACCGCGTGACTAGTACACAGAGTAGCACACCACATTACTAGTACACAGAGCAACACACCACGTGACTAGTACACAGAGCAGCACACCACATTACTAGTACACAGCAACACACCACATTACTAGTACACAGCAGCACACCACGTGACTAGTCCACAGAGCAGCACACCACGTGACTAGTACACAGAGCAACACACCGCATTACTAGTACACAGAGCAACATACCGCGTGACTAGTACACAGAGTAGCACACCACATTACTAGTACACAGAGCAACACACCACATTACTAATACACAGAGCAGCACACCACATTACTAGTACACAGAGTAACACACCACATTACTAGTACACAGAGCAGAACACCACGTGACTAGTACACAGAGCAACACACCACGTGACAAGTACACAGAGCAACACACCACATTACTAGTACACAGAGCAGAACACCACGTGACTAGTACACAGAGCAACACACCGCATTACTAGTACACAGAGCAACATACCGCGTGACTAGTACACAGAGTAGCACACCACATTACTAGTACACAGAGCAACACACCACATTACTAGTACACAGAGCAGCACACCACATTACTAGTACACAGAGCAACACACCACATTACTAGTACACAGAGCAACACACCGCGTGACTAGTACACAGAGCAGCACACCACATTACTAGTACACAGAGCAACACACCACATTACTAGTACACAGAGCAGAACACCACGTGACTAGTACACAGAGCAACACACCACGTGACAAGTACACAGAGCAACACACCACGTGACTAGTACACAGAACAGCACACCGCGTGACTAGTACACAGAGTAACACACCACATTACTAGTACACAGAGCAACACACCGCGTGACTAGTACACAGAGCAACACACCGCGTGACTAGTACACACAGCAGCACACCACCTGACTTCTACAGAGCAGCACACCACGTGACTTCTACAGAGCAGCACACTGCATGACTAGTACACAGAGCAGCACACCGCGTAACTAGTACACAGAGCAACACACCACATTACTAGTACACAGAGCAGCACACCGCGTGACTAGTACACAGAGCAGCACACCACGTGACGAGTACACAGAGCAGCACACCGCGTGACTAGTACACAGCAGCACACCACGTGATTTCTACAGAGCAGCACACTGCGTTACTAGTACACAAATACACAAAGCAGCACACCAGGTGACTAGTACACAGAGCAGCACACCACGTGACTTCTACAGAGCAGCATACTGCGTTACTAGTACAGAGAGCAGCACACCACGTGACTAGTACACAGCAGCACATCGCGTGACTAGTACACAGCAGCACACCACGTGACTTCTACAGAGCAGCACACTGCGTTACTAGTACACAGAGCAGCACGCCACGTGACTAGTACGCAGAGCAGCACACTGTGTGACTAGTACACAGAGTAGCACACCGCGTGACTAGTACGCAGAGCAGCACACCGTGTGACTAGTACACAGAGTACCACACCGCGTGACTAGTACACAGAGCAGCATACCACGTGACTAGTACACAGAGAAACACAACGCATGACTTCTACAGAGCAGCACACTGCATGACTAGTGCGCAGAGCAGCACACCAGGTAACTAGGACATAGAGCTGCACACCACTGGTGGTGGTAGTGGCGGTGGTCGTGGTTGTGGTGGTTGTGGTGGTTGTGGCGGTAGTGGTGGTTGTGGTGGTGGTTGTGGTGGTTATGGTCGTTATGATGGTGGTTGTGATGGTGGTGATCATGGTGGTGGTGGTGGTGATCGTGGTGGCTGTGGTGGCTGCGGTGGTTGTGGTGATGGTGGTGGTTGTGGTTCTCTCACCATGTCGGACTTGCCGCTGAAGACCGGCATGGCAACGGACGTCTTGAGGAAGTGATCCTGAGACGCCAGCGTGAGCAGCTGGTGGCCGGGGGGGCGAGAGCCGTTCACTCATTCACTCATTCATTCCTTCACTCGTTCATTTGGCCAATATTTTGTCAGCAATTAATTAAACTCACGCATTCATTCAGTTGCGTGTTCATTCACTCGTCCATACAGTTCTTTAATATTGTTGGCCAGGTATTGTCAGCAAGCGTCAGTCGTTAAAATGCGGCAATTCATTAATTCAGCCAATTCATCTGTAATTGGAAATAGGTTTTCTCCTTTTTTTCTGGCAACAAAACAGGTGTTAAGATGTTAATACACCAAACTGAAACCTTTTACAAGGAATCATGTCTGCATTCACCACAATACTTGTGGTTAGAATATCTCATCACCTGTTTTGTTGCCAGATAAAGGGGGAAACCTATTCTCATATTTTGGTACTGGCAAAGGAGGTCCCATGATACATTTGTAATTCATTCACTTGTTCAGTCGTTCTTTTGGCCACGCGGGTTGTCAGTAGTTTTCAATTAATTCACTTAGTCATCCATTCATTTGGCCAGGCATTTCAATCAGCAAGTACTCCGTGCACTCAGCTTGTAAGCCAGTGATTCATTCGGTTATACAGATGCTGAAGATGCTTTCATCCAGCAGTGGATTGACCATGGCTGATAATTATAATTTCATTCAGTCTGTTTTTAATTCATTTTCAGTAATTGATGAAGTCATTTAATTTTATGCATTCGAAAACATTCCTCTGTGATTCATTCAGACATTCATGAGTTAATCCATTGCACATGGTCAATTAATTTAATTCGTCATTCGTCCCATCAATCAGTCTGCAATCCATTTGGTCAGAAATTCATTCAGCTTGACATTCATTCCTTCAGCAAATCATTCATCCACTCATCCATAACATAAATTACCCACTCATCCTTAAATAATCCCTTCATTTAGTCGTCATTAATGCCCTGCCCACGCAGCCGATCTCCATTCGTGCAGATTTCCACACGAATCCGTTTCAAGTTCGAGGAGTCATTTAATTAATGATGTTAACGACGCTAATTAATGGTGTTAACGACGCTAATTAATGGTGTTAACGACGCTAATTAATGATGCTAATTCGTGGCAACCGTTGGTCGTATTACATGCAGGAGGACTCTGTGATAATACCACTACTCTATGCACGTCGATCACTCCACCTTCTGCACCTCCTTCCGTTCCTCTCTCAAAGCGTCACCGCCTCTTCTCCAGCGCCCATTCCCTTCCTCTTCCCTCCCCTCGCCCCTTCACTCCGTACCGTTCCTCCCATAGAGCTTTTCTGTGATCCCTACGTGACCTCTGCCACTCAAACTTAACTACTTAACTACTAAACCTGGGTCAACATATTTGAGCCCAGGTGCAAAGCCCTTCTGAAGCGACCTGGCTATCGCAAATGAAAGCTCAACGAAGTGGCGGCTTATCATCGCCGTCTTATCATCGCCGTCGTCACGTGGAAGTGTAAAGCAGCAGCCAAACACTCTCAACGCATGGTGACGTTGATTCTAAATGTGGAGGGGGGAAACCGGAGCAGGACCCGGACACGCGCAAACTCCAAATGTACAACAGGCGGCAAGGTCGCGATGGAACCCACGGTCTCCTGTATACCAGGCGAGGAAGTTAACATCTCACCACCGTGGCATTCGTCGTGATGAGGTGATGGTGATAATGGTGGTGATGATGATGGGAGTGTAGATGTGATTTAGGGCTCCGTGTGAAAGTGCTCTTACCTTCTGTGCTTGTGGCAGCTGCAACCCAGACACACAAAGACAAAGGTCCCCCGCATAGCCTTAACAGACTGTTGGGGAAAGTGCTGTTAACGAGTAGCGCCTATGAAGGCCGGTACGGCACCATAGGGGGTGGGTGACCAGCACCACGTCCGGCCGCCTTTGTCTCCCCAGTGGCAATGTTTACGACCAGTTTGTAGTGCAGCGCGCTAACCGCTACTCTCCCGCTCCCCTCTAGAGACATACAGACACATACACACAGACACACATGGACACACACAGACACGTACAGATATGCAGTGACACGTACATAGATAAACAGATAAAGATCCCCCGTATAGCCTTAACAGACTGTTGGGGAAAGTGCTGTTAGCGAGCACCTATGAAAGCTCGCACGACACACATCGGAGTGGGTGGCAAGCACCACGCTCGGCCGTCTTTGTCTCTCTAGTGTCGATGTTTGCACACCGCACCAGGTACACATTTTAGGCTGAGTCAACCTAGGGGATAACCAGGACCGGTTCTGAAAATCGCCACTGGTGTTGGCATATACAGACAGACACAGGGACACACACACAGACAGTGGAACAGACACGCATACTTCACAGCTACGACACGCGAGTGACATCACTGTGGCAACTGTGAATTTTTTTAAATTATTGAGCCAGTTTTATATTAGCAGATAAGAGCCCCACTGAGATGTGTAGCTCTTTTCACAGAAGCAACATGGCCATCGCAAATGACAGCTCAACGGAGTGGTGGTTTATGGTCGTCACGTGGACATTTAGAGCAGCCAAATAATCTAAATTATCTAAACGTGTGACGTTGATTCTAATTGTGGAGGGAAAACTCGGAGGACCCGGAGAAAAAATCCAGGTGACCACGGTGAAAGAGACAGAGAGACATGCAAATTCCAAATACACAACAGGCATCAGGGTCGGGATTGAACCCACGACCTCCTGTATACCAGGCGAGGTAGTTAACATCTCATAGCCACCGCGGCGACCCCCTTTGTGAATCCTCTAAGCCAGTCCACCTGGCTCCAGCACGGCTCCAGCACGGCTTAGTTCGTCCCAGTGGGGAAAAAAAAGAAACGTACCGTGCCGTGCCGGGCTCACCGTGTAGTCAGTGTAGGCCTCGGTCCAGATGACCGTGTGGCCGCGGCTGATGGCCATGGGACGGCTCAGGACCGGCAGGTAGTGCATCACGTTTTCGGGCACGTTGGCCAGCGTCGAGATGCGCGAGTAGTAGCCTGCGTGTGCACCGCACAGAGGTCGAGAGGTCAAAGGCGTCGAGATGGTCCAGATGTGAAGAGGTTCAAGTATCGAGAGGTCAAGAGGTCCAGGTATCGAGAGGTCAAGAGGTCCAGGTGTTGGGCTGAGTTAAGTACTCAGCCCAATTGGTCTCTATGGTCAAAGACTTTGTACTGTCCCCTGACGATATCCTTGTCAGCTTCGATGTAGTCTCCCTGTTCACCAAGGTCCCGGTACCTGATACCATTGAAATAATTGAAAATTTGGTACATGGACTAGACCCCGATACACCTGCACTGGTTAGACACTGCCTCACCAATACATACTTTACTTGGAATGGCACCTTCTACAAACAAAATGAGGGTACCCCCATGGGTTCTCCCTTATCACCAGTGATAGCCAATGTTTTCATGGAGAAATTTGAATCAGACGCCATCCAGACTTCCACCCTCAGACCTTCCCTGTGGAAGAGATATGTGGATGACACTTTCGTCATTTGGCCACATGGCCTCCCAGCTTTGAACCTTTTCCTACACCACATCAAGCTACCATTCTTGGACGTTCTGTTTGAGAGGAGACCTGATGGCTCATTGGGGCATTCTGTCTACAGGAAACCCACCCACACAGATTCCTACTTGAAGCCTGATTCCCACCACCACCCAGCTCAAAAGAATTATCTCATCAAAACGTTATACCACAGGGCTAATTGCATTTCAGACCAACACCACCTGACCAGTGAATTAAAACATGTACACCTGGCCCTCAAGAGAAACGGATACTCTGACCGTACCATCCGCCAAGCTGTTTCTCCCTCCATACAGAAACAACCACTTGATACTCTGGTCAAAACCATCACACTACCATATATAGCAGGCGTTACTAAAAAGATCTCCAAAATTCTAAACAAACACAAGATCCTGGTCCGGTTCAATACAGTACACAAAATCCGTGACCTGATCCCATCCGTGAAGGATGTCATTCCTGACTTACAATACCCCGGGGTTTACAAATTGAGCTGCACTTGTGGTGATTGCTATATCGGGGAGATGAAGCGACATGTCTCTGACCGAATTCGCGAGCACAAATCATATTTGAAACAAGGCAGAACGAATTCTTCTGCCGTGGCTGACCACTGTTACAACGCTGTGGGTTATCACGATATAGTGTTCTCCGATACCAAGGTCCTTTGCAAACCTATAGGTTATCAGAGATTTGTCCACGAGGCAATTCAGATTTACAAACACAGACACAATTTCAACCGAGAAGATGGTTTCAAATTAAGCAATCATTGCAAAGATGTTCTAAATCATACCAAACATTAAACTAATTTTCAATGGTACAGTATATTTATCCAAGTAGTGATATACCAAACTTTCACAGCAGCTTATTTCCCTTCAAAACAACGTTTGTAAACTCCCCTCCCCCCCGTGTTAGGTGCTCTATCAGCACTTTATGCTAATTCCTTTGTCAAAGCGTTTGGTTTCCTCCCACACAGCTTAAAGGACGCGACCTGGCTTGACTTTCTGAATTCCTACGCTGTCTTCGTGACAGCACGGTCCCTTCACCTGATGAAGGCCACTTGTGTTGTGGCCGAAACGTCGTGATTTTTGTTGTTTTATTTTTTACCTACGTGACTTTACCGAATAGAACAAAGGAGTATGGATCCTTGCAGTCACGAAAGCTTCAAATCTAGAACCAGTGACGATTATCTGAACCCGGTGCTGGGCCTCCCCTAGGTCGACTGAGCCTCAAATGAGTACCTGGTGTGGTGTGTAAACATCGCAACTAGGGAGACAAAGGCAAGCCAGGCATGGTATTGGCCACCCACCCCATCATGTGCTGTGCTGGTGTTCATGAATGCATGCTAACAGCACTTACCCCAACAGTCTGCTAAGGATATATGGGGGATCTGTGGATGAGTGTCTGGGGAGCAGTAGTGATTTCTCTCTGGCTATCTCTGTTCTGATCTCTATCTGTCTGTCTCTATTCTGATCTCTATCTGACTCTCTCTGCTCTGATCTCGATCTGTCTCTGTTCTGATCTCTATCTGTCTCTATCTGATCTCTATCTGGATGTCTCTGTTCTGATCTCTGACTGTCTCTGTTCTGATCTTCATCTGACTGTCTCTGCTCTGATCTCTATCTGTCTCTATTCTGATCTCTATCTATCTGTCTCTATTCTGATCTCTATCAGACTGTCTCTGTTCTGATATCTATCTGACTGTCTCTATTCTGATCTCTGACTGTCTCTATTCTGATCGCTATCAGACTGTCTCTGCTCTGATCTCTATCTAACTGTCTCTATTCTGATCTCTATCTGACTGTCTCTGTTCTGATCTCTATCTGACTGTCTCTGCTCTGATCTCTATCTGACTGTCTCTGCTCTGATCTCTATCTGACTGTCTTTGCTCTGATCTTTATCTGTCTCTGTTCTGATCTCTATCTAACTGTCTCTGTTCTGATCTCTATCTGACTGTCTCTGCTCTGATCTCTATCTGTCTGTCTCTGCTCTGATCTCTATCTAACTGTCTCTGCTCTGATCTCTATCAGACTGTCTCTGTTCTGATCTCTATCTGGCTGTCTCTGCTCTGATCTATATCTGTCTGTCTCTGCTCTGATCTCTATCTGTCTGTCTCTGCTCTGATCTCTATCTGACTGTCTTTGCTCTGATCTCTATCTGACTGTCTCTGCTCTGATCTCTATCTGTCTCTGTTCTGATCTCTATCTGACTGTCTCTGTTCTGATCTCTATTTGACTGTCTCTGCTCTGATCTCTATCTGACTGTCTCTGCTCTGATCTCTATCTGACTGTCTTTGCTCTGATCTCTATCTGACTGTCTCTGCTCTGATCTCTATCTAACTGTCTATGTTCTGATCTCTATCTGACTGTCTCTGTTCTGATCTCTATCTGGCTGTCTCTGTTCTGATCTCTATCTAACTGTCTCTGCTCTGATCTCTATCAGACTGTCTCTGTTCTGATCTCTATCCGGCTGTCTCTGCTCTGATCTATATCTGTCTGTCTCTGCTCTGATCTCTATCTGTCTATCTCTGCTCTGATCTCCATCTGACTGTCTTTGCTCTGATCTCTATCTGATTGTCTCTGCTCTGATCTCTATTTGGATGTCTCTGCTCTGATCTCTATTTGGATGTCTCTGCTCTGATCTCTATCTAACTGTCTCTGCTCTGATCTCTATCAGACTGTCTCTGCTCTGATCTCTATTTGGATGTCTCTGCTCTGATCTCTATTTGGATGTCTCTGCTCTGATCTCTATCTAACTGTCTCTGCTCTGATCTCTATCAGACTGTCTCTGTTCTGATCTCTATCCGGCTGTCTCTGCTCTGATCTATATCTGTCTGTCTCTGCTCTGATCTCTATCTGTCTGTCTCTGCTCTGATCTCCATCTGACTGTCTTTGCTCTGATCTCTATCTGATTGTCTCTGCTCTGATCTCTATTTGGATGTCTCTGCTCTGATCTCTATCTGGCTGTCTCTGCTCTGATCTCTATCTCGGCTATCCCGGACTCCTCAGTCACCTTCCCAGTCACCAGCTACCCTAAATAACGTCCCTCCTCATCACTTGAAGTCACGCCAAGCCCCCTTTGGAGCAATGCGCTTAAACCATAAACGATGCGAGCTTGACTCCTGATGAAGCTTTGAGAACTGAATGGGAGGACGGGGAGGAGGAGGGAAGGGGGAGGAGGCAGGGGGAGGAGGAGGGAGGGGGAGGAGGAGGCACGGGGGGGGGCAGGGGGGGCCCACCTTTGTTGCTGCACGCCATCCACTTCACGCTGTCCGCAAATGCCACTTCCCGCCCGATCAGGTAGGTGAAGAGGCGCACCTGTATGTACAGGTGTGTGAATGGGTGGCGCGTGTGTGTGTGTGCGAGGGTGTGTGAATGGGTGGCGCGTGTGTGTGCGTATGTGCGAGAGTGAGTGGGTGTGTGGGAAGTGGTGGCGTAGTGGTTAGCGCTGCTGCAATACGAACCTGGCCACCAGAGTTCGATTCCCGCTCACGGTCAACACCAACTCGCTCCGTGTCAACAACTTCATAATAAAGGTTTTTGGGTTAGATCACGTAAGTATGTGTCGTAACCCTCCACCACCCGACACAGCCAATTAGAGATTTGTCACATAAACAAAACTCCGAATAGTTACTACTTCGGCCCACCGGTGTGTCGGAGAGTAAATCCACAATATTTACAATATGGAGGGTCACGACACATTTATACTTACGCGATCTAACCCAAAAACCTTTATTATGAAGAATATTGGTCGCGAAGGCCTCGCACGTGTCAAATTGACAACAACGCATGTCCTGGATGTTGTGGCCATTTTAGATTTAAAGCTTTCGTGACTGCAGGAATTCATCTTCTTGGTTCTTTCGGTAAATTCACGTATAATGGAAACAAAGTAATAAAAAGAAAGCATAATAAAAAACTAAAAAAAACTAAGTCTCAATATAATAAATGTACTCAATATATTCTTCAATAAGCTGAGCTATTAACACAAAGCAACCGAGCATGGATGGACTCGACCGTCTGAACGGGGCTCGTCGCTGTCCGTGGTGCTCGTGTTGAGGGGAAGAAACCGCCACCCATTGTTTCGCCATATGGCATTGTGATATACAACATTGTTGGTGGCTCAGCTGATTGGAGAGTATATAGAGTTTATTGATAACATTGAGGTAGTTTATATTTTAGTTTTTTTATTAGTTTACTATATGGTATTCATTATATAGTGTAGTGTATACCCAGTTGCTTTGTGTTAATAGCTCAGCTTATTGAAGAATATATTGAGTACATTTATTATATTGATGTAATTTAGACTTAGTTTTTTCACATCGGTTTACTGTATGATATTTGGGTAGTTGCAGCCCTTTAGCGTCCATATACTAAATGCCTCTGTTGATATGTAAACTTTGACTTTTACATAGCTATTTCTGTGACCAGTCACAAGCTAATCCCTCAGCTATTTCAATGCTAAATTCTCCTGTTTGATATGTAAACTCATTTGTCAAGGCGCTTCACTTCTCTCACCTAGCTTAAAAGACGCTACGAATCTTAGCAGCGTTCATTGAAGCGCTGTCGTCCCGACAGTTCTGTTCCTTCACCTGAAGAAGGCTACTTGTGTTGTGGCCGTAACGTCGTGAGAATTTTATTTTATTATGTTTTGTTTGTATTACTTTGTTTCCATTCTACGTGACTTTACCGAAAGAACCAAGATGTTGTGGCCTTGATGGGGAGCGGTGGCGCAGTGGTTAACGCGCTGCGATACGAACCCGGCCAACACCGGTGACGATTATCTGAACCGGTTCTGGCCTTCCCCTAGGTCGACTCCGCCTCAAATGGGTGCCTGGTGCAGTGGTGTGTAAACAATGCCACTGGGGAGACAAAGGCGGCCGGGCGTGGTGCGAGCCACCCAACCCCTCGTTTGCCGTTCCGGCCTTGATAGTCTGGTAAGGCCACACGGGGGTCTTTGTGAGTGTGAGTGGGGACAACACCCGCTAACCCCCCCAACCCCCACATGAACGAGACATGGCGTGGGCAGTCCATCATCTAGCAGTGGATTGAACATGGCTGCTGCTGTTGTTGATGATTTATTTAATTTTCACTCATTAATACGGAATCATTTTAGTGATTCATTCATGCATTCGTTCATCTATTGTCAATCGTCCATTAAATCCTTCATTCAATCCGTCTGTATTTAATCAGTCATGCCATTTATTCAGTAAATAATTCGTCCACTAAACACATTTGCCATTTATTATTCAATCATTCATTCATTTATCTAGTTGTTCATTCATTCATTCCCTACCCAGATAGCCCAATGCAATCGACGTTACCCCAGCAGCTTTCCCCAGGCAGGGCTGTGAATTGCTATAAACACTAAGCACTTGCCCCTACAGTCTTTCGAGGCTAAACGGGGAATCTTAATATTTTCCGGGAGTGGTGGCGCAGCGGTTAGTACGCTGCACTGCAAGAACCCCGGCGATCCGAATTTGATTCCTGCTCATGACCAGTAACAGTGACGGCGACTATCATGAACCGTGGTGGCGAGGGGTTAACTTCCTCACCTGCTATGCAGGAGGTCGTGGGTTTGATCCCGACCCTGACGCCTGCTGTATATTTGGATTTTGCGTGTCTCTTTCTTCCCGTAGTCGCGTGGATTTTTGTCCGAGTCCTCCGCTTTTTCCTTCAAGATCACGCGTTTCGAGGGTATTTGGCTGCGGCTATAAATGTCAACGTGATGATGGTGACGATGATGATAACGCCACTTTGTTGGGCTATCATTTGTGATAGCCAGGTCGCTTCTGAAAAAATTACATAAAGAAAGCTGCATAGATCGGTGGGGACCTTAATTAACTCGTTAATACAAACAAAAAATAGTTTATTTATTTGTAAAGTAGTTTTTGGTTTTAACCTGCAGTCTCGATCACAGTGTGTAGAGCTCGTGGATTCTCGAGAGATCCGGACATGGATCCTCATCATCAGCGATCTCCTCTGGGACCGGTTCCCTTTCAGGTGAATACGATGCATCACAAAGCAACCACGTCGCCACCCCGGGATGAGATCCGAATTCCATTGTTCCGTCTCCACGATGGACGTTCTCCTGCCGTGTCTGCCGCTCGTGTCACTAAGTTCGACCGCTGGGTCAGGGTCCCATCATAATCATCACCATCATCACTGTCATCATCACTGTCATCATCACCAGCATCATCCTCACCAGCATCATTATCACCGGCATCACCATCATCATTATCATCATAATCCTCATCAACATCATCCTCATCATCATCACCATCATCATCACTATCCTCATCATCATGACCATAATCCTAATCTGCGCCATCTTCACTATCCTCAGCATCATCATTACCAACATCATCACCATCCTCACCATCATTACCATCATTACCATCACCATAAATCCCATCCTCAGCCATCATCACCACAATCACTCACCCATCACCATCACTCATGATCTCGTTAGCGATCCCACTAGGTTCAAGCGCTAATTGATCTGCGCGGTAATTGAGAGAGAAGGCCACGTGGGTGCTGGGGGGGGGGGGGGGGGGGGTTGAGGGGGAAGGGGGACTAATGACAACCTCATTACGGGGCTAATCTACAGATAATTAATGAGCAGAAGCTGCTCCGAGTCCCAAAGGGACGCAAGTTCAATCCCTGACCAAGGTCTTAAATGCAAAGCGTTGAGTGATTCAACGCAGAGGTTTGTGTCGAACCAGGACCCATGTCTACCAGAGAGCGCCCTTGCCAATAGCCATCTGGGCAGTTCTACTAGCAGAGCCTGGTGGCACTGCTGATGAGACCGTGAAAGTCGAAACCAGTCCTTGCCAATAGCCATCTGAGCAGTTCTACCAACAGAGCCTGGTGGCACTGCTGATGAGACCGTGAAAGTCGAAACCAGTCCTTGCCAATAGCCATCTGGGCAGTTCTACCAGCACAGCCTGGTGGCACTGCTTTTGAGATCGTGAAAGTCGAAACCAGTCCTTGCATATGTAGTGGGTTCACGGGACACGGAGACGGTGGAGTGGAGGCAGCACTGTTTATTCAACTTAACAAGGGTTACACTGGAAGGGGTAATGGCCCCTTTACCCGTATTCACTCTGGGACACCCCCTAGGCTATCTAGCCTAATTCCTGTGCTCCCAGTTCCTCCAGCTACAGACGCTAGAGGAGGCTATCTGATCTGGTCCTGGTCAAGCACAGATCACGGCACCCTACCAACCAGACCGACCCTTAAAAGGGCTCCGGCTCTGAGGCTCTGGGGCCGCACCACTGGCTTACCCTGCCGGCCCTTAAAAGGACAGTGGTCAGGGAAGTCCCAGGGTCTATCTAGCCGGCCTTCCTTCTTCACTGGTTCTTCATTCTTGGCCCCAACACATTGCCCCGAGCTCTCTGGCTCCCCGCCCTTTATACCCATACACCACTGAGGGCGGGGCTATAGCGGACGTGGTTGTAGCCACCAAGGTGTGGCTGAGTGTTACCTTCCCACACTGTGTGTTCCCTTCCCACAACACCCCTACATCACCCCCTCCTGTACAGCCCACAGCCATCCCGGCTGCAACAATATTGAACAATAACAACGCAACAAAACCCCAACCGTGCGTGCCTCATAACAACCAAACGCCCCAATAAATAACCCACCTATACAAAGATACACTATATACAGCATATACATTTTCCCCCCACCGCATTCAACCAGAGTCACCCGTCAGCGCAGCAAAAGGAGACTTAACAGGTGAGTAGAACAGTGTGAACAGAACAAGTGCAACCAGAAGGCAACATTACAAAAACCGGCGCGTTTTGGCGCGAGTCCGTTTTGTGGGGCCATCGTGGGGGGGGAAACCGGTCGGGCCGGTGGTGGGCGCTGTCCGTTCGGGTGCACAACCCTGCGACATCCCGGGAGGACAATCCCTGTCGCCGCCGGGTGGCGCAGGCAGCTGGGAGGCCCTCATTCTCGAGGCACCTGAAGATGGAACAGTCAGTGGTATATCAGGGGCAGGCGGCGAAGTCGCCGTCCGGGAGTCAGCGGACACATCACATGCTCGGCCTGTGTAATGTGGTGGAGGAACGTGCGGTGCCACAAACGGCTTCAAGCGCGAGGGGTGTACATACCAACGACGTTTCCCCCACTGAATACGAATACACTTTGGTCGCATGACCTGCACAATTTCCACAGGACCCCTCCATGGCCGCAACAATTTCACCGAGGTTGCCAATGGTACTTGAGGGCAGAGCAACCAGGCTCTGTCACCCGGGCTCCACGCATGTGTGCGTGACTGGCGCAATCGCAACCTCTCGTTAGCCTTCTTCGGTCAA